GGCTCAAGTGGTAGAGCGCTAGCCTTGAGCTGAAGAGCTGAGGGACAGCGCCCAGGCCCAGAGTTAAGGCCCCACGACCGGACCCAAAAAAAATAAAAAGTAAAAATAAAAACCTAAAAGAAACATTTCATTATATTTTCTACTAAAATTCCTACCAAATAATGGGTGATAACATAGTATGCATTTCACTTTTTAATATGTATTATATTTAAGTCATAGGAAATTGCTAAGTTCAAATCAGTGACAGTATTCTAGAATTATTCCATGTGAGACACTGCCCTCATATAGCTTACAGTTTTACATCAGTTAACATGGACAAATATTATATGTGACATAAATATAATTATGAAAATATATGTGTAGTTTTAGGACTAGAAGGGACCTTAGCAATTGTAAGTACCCAAGATCACTTGACTCATGATAATCAAAACTGTGATTAAAACCTTGCTCTCCCTTCATTGCTCTTTCCACTTCAATTCCAGAGGTTTTGTTGCTTTTCTCTTAGAGCCATGGTCCATGTGAGTGTTATTTCTTGTATCAGAATAATCTCTATAAATTAGTTTAACTCATACATTTTCCCTACTTGAGTTTAAATTATTGCTATGTATCACAATTTTGGCTGGAAAATCACATAAATATTGTTTAGAAGAATGCATCAGACTTTCTAAGTGACAAATACCATTACTTTCCTACACAATAAAACTTAAATAACAAAATAGGAGCCTAAGAGTAGAGATCATAATTCTGTAGAATTTCTTTCCTGTGATTAGTTCTTATAAATCACAAGTAGCAACTTTACCCTCTTCTTCCCCACAAGCTAGATAAAAATGACACTTTGCCATCTCAGGATGTGTTTTAGAACTACTAAGTGCATGGCTTATATAATTTCTGGTAAGTGTTTTTAGGTAGAATCTTTAGTAAAGAATGATATTTTGATGTTTTGAAAAGTTTGACTAGGGATGTCAGGTTGAGATGCCCTTCTGTTATTGATGACTTCTCTACATCCTCATTCTTGAAGTGTGAGTATGAAGAGAGACCTTTTAGAGTGAGCTCATGGGTTGTTTATCCTTTTGAGACACTTGAAATGACAACTTCGTTATTTTTCTTCTAAGTTTTACTTCTCTGAAATAATTCTGGTGTGAATGTTTTGTAAAAGGAGATGAAGGATAATTTTGAAATTTCAAAACACCTTAATTAATATTCTGTATAGCCTAGCATTATGCTATGTATATAGAGTGGGGCTAGAAGGGAGAGAATTGAAGCCGTCATTGCTGTCTGTCCTTGATGAACATAAAATCTAGTTGAAGAAAGAAGGTATTATGAAGGAAATATCTGAATATACCCTAGGTGATTGATCTTGACACTGAAGTTTGAGAACGACTATGCCACAACAAAAAACAAGAGAGAAAAAAAAGACCCTGAAGACAGGGATACCAAATAGGAAACTGTTCACAATAAGCTTAAAGTGATATAAGCGTAGATTGGAATGTAGTAATAAAGATGAAAGGTAACTCTCAGAGGTATTCTGAATGAAAGGTATTCTGAAGGAACACAATACAGAATATAGCACAGGAAATGGGATGTGTTTCTACCATTCAGGAAGCGGAAGAGGGAAGATCACTTGAGCTCAGAAGTTAGGGACTGATCCACCAACTTCATAAGATCTTGTCTCAAAACAAACACAAGAATGTAGTACATAAGAACAAAATGCAAAGTATTTTAGCTTAAAAGGATATAGACAGAATTATTGCAATGAAATGAAGACTGTCAGCTGAGTAGAAAGAACATAATAGGATCAGACACATGTCAAATATAAAGTAGTGGCAGGATATCTAGGACTTAGACTCTTAAATGAAGATACTGACTAAAGGTGATGATGGAATAAAAGATGTGAAGATGAGTAGGTCAAACTAGAGGACAGTCCCATTCACAATAGTCTCAAAAAGATACAAACAAAAATAAACTTAAGCATAACCAAGAAGGTGAAAGACTTCCTTATTGAAAACTATACAGTAGTAAAGAAATTGAGGGGCTGGGAAGGTGGCTCAGTGGTTGAGTACTTGCCTTGCATGCATGAGGCCCTGGGTTCGATTCCCCAGCACCACATAAGCAAAAAGAAAAAAGCCTTTGGAAGTGGTGCTGTGGTTCAAGTGGTAGAGTGCTAGCCTTGAGCTGAAGAGCTGAGGGACAGCACCTAGGCCCAGAGTTCAGGCCCCATGACTGGACCCAAAAAATATATATATTCACAAACGAACTTCAAAAGAAATTGAGTAAGACTCTAAAAGATGGCAAAATCTATATTCATGGATTGGCAGCATTTATATTGTGAAATGGCTATGTTACTGAAAATGACACAGATTCAGTGTACTCTCTATCAAAATTCCAAGGACTTTTTATAGAAATAGAAAAAAAGAGCACTGAAGTTTATATAGAAGCACAAAAGCCCCTGAATAGACATAGCCATACTGGGCATAAACATCAATGCTAAAGGTGTAGAGGTAACTTCAAATTGTATGACAGAGCCATAATAACAAAATGGCATGGTATGGACAGTAAAACTGACATGTAGGCCAATAAAATATAACAGAAGATTCAGAAGCAAGTTATGGAGCTGCACCCATCTAATTCTTCACACAGGTGATTAAAATGTATATCACACTGATAGAGGGAAAATTGAATATCCACATGTACAAAACTGAAATTAAGTCCCTGTTTCTCACCTGTGTCTGCAGAGGTGATAAGGGCTAACTTTCTGGTTTGTGGGCTGTACTTTTTTTGGAGGAAAAGGCAATACCAGTAATTGAATTCAGGGCCTTATGCTTGCTAGGTAAATGTTCTACCCCTTGAGACACATCTGAAGTCCTTTTTGCTTTTGTTATTTTTGTAGGGTCTTGCACTTTTTACCTTGGCCTTGGCCTTGGCCTTTGATCCTTTTACTATGAGTCATTCATAGTTAGGTTTATAATTATCTCTACCATGCTCAGCTTATTCTTTGAGATAGGGTCTCACTAACTCTTTTTGCTCACA